CCTATTTAAACTTGGATTTATAGAGCTACAATAATAGGATACTATGTGGACTTTTATCTGTTAGTGAGAATATCCTCCTTTTTGAAACACAAAGGTATCACAGACCTCAGAATTGAGATGTGAAGAAAAATGCATTCAGGATGAAAGTAAAAGCTAAAAAAAGAAAAAAAAAAATTTAAAAGCAGTTAACACTTTGGACCTGAGCTCTGCAAAATACCCTTAGGACCCTGCTCAAAGGTACTGATTATAGTGCTAAAATTTAAAAACTTTATAATGAGGGGATGAATATTCTTGGAGGGCTATAAAAGAAACTAATGCAATGATCATGTACCATATTTCTGCACTTCTTACAGAATAGTATTTGTTTAATATATTGAAATGTTGTATTTTTACATGAAACTTGATTACAATATTATCATAATGTGAAAATTAATCATTAAAAGCTCACAGAAGCATAACAAACTGAAGAATCATTAACCTTTGCTATGGGTTTATTTCAGTCTGGACTCTAAACACTCGTAGACACACAGGTGAAACAAAAGGAGGAAAAATCCTGGATAGGTATTAAAGAAAGGAGGGGTGGGGGGAGAGAAAGAGAAGAAACAACCCCAAACAGATCAAAGATGATAAACCCCATATAGTTATCTGGGAGATCAAGAAAAGTATTATTTAAGTTTATATATGCTCTCACACCCATACCAACACCCACTTCATATGGTAATTAAGAGGACTGATTCAGTGCTTAGTGGGGTTAGGGAAAAATTCTCATGCTCATGTAATGGGAATTGCATCTAGACCTCAGGTATCTCTTTTGCATTCATACTTGCATATAGACATAGATTTTTATGGTTCATTTTCAGGGGATGTTGTGAGTGTGCATGCTGGAATTTGTTGAAAGGGAACTTTTTTTAAATGATGCAATCTGTATACTTCGAAGAAATCAAAGTCCTTTTGACTTTGTGCAGTTGAAAAGTTACGCCAGAATCTTTCTGGTGTGTTTAAATCTTTAGAAACTTCTAAATCAATGAAATTTTTATGAAGTTACATCATAGTTTGTATTTGTCTTGAAAGGGTCTAACAGCTATACTAGCAATTATACGAAACTATCAATGGTGCTGCTGTGTTTTGTAGAGAAATGGAAGTATGACATAGCTACTATATGAAAACAATCCTTTGGATATTTTTCCTTCTCTCCTCGAGTAGTGTTCATTATTTGAGAGGGGAAAATAAGTAGTATGGAGGTGTGGATGAAAGAAGGAACCTTAGAAGCCGAGATACTAAATTAGAGGTTTCTCTGCCAAAGTAGTAGCTGAATTAAGAAATTCTCCAGAGCATACCTGACTGCTGCTGGCCACCAGCTAATCTGCTGGGGTTGGCACCACTGCCATCCCAGAAGAAAAATAAACGGCTTAAGAATGAAAAGCAGGTAGGAGGATACCACCCTGGAGAATACCGGACTGAGAGGAAAAGGCAGTTTAGCAAGTCCTCACATGTTTTGAGGTGAGTCAAATGCTTTAGCAGCTCTTGAGTCCATCTAGCCTTAGCCTGCCTTCATGTATCACATTACAAACCATTGAATAGACCTTAGTTAACTGTGACATTGTTTGCGCATTTTTAAGTATGTTGTTTAGCAACTAATTCCATCGAGAATGAGTGTTATTTGCTAAAACTTAAATGAGAAAATGGGACTCCTAATTCTTCATTCAGCTTGTACCCTGACCAAGGACGTGCTCACTTGGCTCACTCTAACTTCTAACATGTAAAGAGGGTGAATAGGACAGATAATGTAAATGCTGTTTTTGTCTGTAACTAGAGTGTTCAGCTATTTGTCTGTAAGGTGGTTCAGGCCACTCGCCATTCGCTGTTTTGTTGTTGATACAAAGAAAGGAACTCTCCCTTTTATCAAAAAATGCTCAAATCCGAACTGATTAGCAGACATACACTAGCTCTATTCGACACCCGAGTAAAGAATGGCTCAAAACAGAGGTCCCATTTAGGAGGGTGATGGAAAGGCCCATGCCACTACTGGAAATAATCTGCCTACAATTGCGATTGTCCTCTCAGCAGAAAGAAACAAAGACTGGTCTAAGGGTATTCAAAAAGTCTTCAAAGTGATTCAGATTTTTTTTAACTGACGATAAAACCCACACAGAATAAGCATCAGAGGGGACAGAATCTATCTGAATCAAGTAAAGTTTAGTAATCCGATGCCCAGAAGAAAGAATTCTACTGAGCTTCTCAATAATATATCTTACTGCTCTTGTATGACATGTGTCTACGTCATCAGTTTAGCAATCTTTGATTTACAGGGCAGGTCAAAGGTATGACTTCACATATATGTAGTCAAGCAAGCTTTTGTTAGCTTGAGTGCCATCTATGGCATAGCAGCACTGTGCAAGTACTGTATGGTGCATATTTTCTCCTTTTTAGTGGACTTTGTTCATACTGAACTCCGTATCACTAGGTTTCTGTATCACTGCTGGCTGGTTTGAAACTGGGTTGGGTATGTCTAAATAAAACTTAATGATATCTGGAAGGCAGCAGGGATGTTTTTCTAGAGGCCTTTGCTAGACAGCTATTGAAGAGTGGTAGGAAGTATAATTTATAGCAAAAGATGCTTGATGTGAATAAACCTGTTGAAATTCCTAGTTCAGAGGGAAGTCCCCGCATGACGCCAGGTATGTTCTTCTGCCTCTGTTATTCATCTGTAAAATCAAATGTCCTTGCCTGAGCCCTCTCTGTATCATGAAGATAAAAGCTGCCAAAAACTCTAAGGTGTGTAGATTGTTTGGTTATGAGAGTAAATATATCAGTAATTAAAATACTTCTTTTGATATCAAGGCCTTACAAACCTCTAAACTGTCTTTATAACTTCAGCAATGGTGAATTAAGTCCTCTTAATTCAAGGTGGCTCTGGAATGTAATTAGGAGCATTTCTGTACTGATTTTCGTTTCTAGGATGCATTATACCTGTGAAGTTATCGTAAGAGTGAAGAGAGCATGTCACTTTGTGTTACGTTTTTTTTGTCAGTTAATCTTTTCATTTTATGCTGATGTAACTCATCTGATTCATTTCACTGCAAATAAGTCTGTTCAGATGTACGTCAAGAAGTAGGAATCATTTTAAGGAGGAAGCAATTTGGTGGAGCTTCCCAGGAGAGGGTCACAGGCAGGAAAAGTTAGTTGGTAACACTAGTATTAACAACAAATGGCTGTGGAAATACTTAGTTCGCCATGGAAAAAAATCAATTGCCATGAAAGAGCAGCATATATAAAGATAAAAGAGGAACCATTCACAGGTTCTGTTAAGCAAGTGTAGTAAAACAAATAGCCTTATATTCTTGGAAAAGGAATAATATTTTTAATAAGAGGAGAAAAAACAGCAACTACAATCAAACATTTATTGCAGTTTTTTCCACTGTAGTGGTTACAGTTGCAAATAGACTTACTTCATTTCATTTTCATCAGCATTTAAATTGCTAGTTTATGGCCAGAATATCGGTCATCTAGGTATACAAACATTACTTATGCTTGTAATTAACTGAATCTGGAACTATGTAGGAAAAGAATTCATACCTAATACATTTCTCCTAAATGCAGGCATATAAATAGAAACTATTTAAAAACAACAACAACAACAAATCCAAACCAAAACCAACACAACAAAACAAACCTGTCATCCCTGCATCCCACCTACATGGGAAAGGAATTCTAAAATGAATTTTTTTTGTATATGCTGAATGTTAACCAAGTGTCTGGCAAAAATTCCAGTGGGAAGGTAACAGGCACATTTCTATAGTTAGGCTGTTACAGGCTCAGGCATACATCGAGGGTACGAGCTGAGGAACCTCCACCCTGTTTGGTATATGTGTGCTCTTGGTCATGTGATGCAGTACTAAGTGTGTGGTCTTCCCATTCACAGTGTATCTGCATCTAGTCCTTATAACTATCAAAATGTAGAGACAGGCTGAGATGTTACTCCAGGATCCATGTTGTGATTTAAGAAAGCAACCGGGGACAAATGATGGGTTTGGCACTTTCATTTCTCCTTCCTTAAAGCACAAATGCATTTAGAAAAGGTCATTTAAATGCCTATGGGCATCTTTTAAAAGACCTGGAAGCTTCTAATTCAGATAAACTTGAAAATTTATAACCCCTTGTCAACTTTTGGATCCAATCTAGAATTAAAGCAGAGGGAATATTCCTCTGTGATGCTAATTTACCTACATGAATTAAAGGATTTTTTTAGGTTTGAAGCTCCAGTTGAATTACTGTTTTACTATTTGTGATAGCGATTAAATTCTAGTCATGCTAAAAAAAAAAAAACAGTTTATATGGCTATATTCAGAGAAGTAAGGCTCACTGTCTGTTTTAAGTTTTGGTCTCTGAGGAACTAAAAATTAAGGCCACTGAGCTGACGACAAATCCAGGACAATAATTGCAATAAGAGTATCAAAAGACTATAGTTACAAACTCAGGATTCTGTGAGACATGGAAATGATATTACATATGTGAATAAACAACCCTATTTGCTGAAATCTCTGAACTAGTGTTCTAGGAAGCTTTTTAAGTCTTAATCCTGCATTTCAAGTCTTCCCAGGGACAGGACAGGAGGGACCCGCTGCAAGTGTTGCTGTGAGATAGCTCAATTACAATGACTCATGTGCAGAGAACCCTAAAGGTATGTTATGAGGTGACAGACTAGATTTAGATGCTGGAGATACAGTACACTTCCTGCTAAAATATTTCACTGTTTTTAAGGCAGTCAGTGTGTCAGTTCAGTAGTTTTCCTCTTTAGTGGCACAGAAATTCAGACTTCCACTATAACAGCATTGCTTATTCTTTACTTGGGTGTTGTCAAATGAATTGGAAACAGTGTAGATGTAGGTTATGTCAGGAGAATAAAAGCATCCTTCCCCCAACATAGCCACACACCAAATCCAGTTCTTGACTTGGTTCTGAGACTTTAAAAAAAAAAAAAAAAAGGTAGTTTAAAAGATCTCCTATCACCAAATTTCTTTAGGGCATAAAGGAGATGTCAGCTAAACCTCCAGCTCTTACTCAAAGTTGAAAATCTATCCTCCCAGTGCTCGGAGGAGGGCTGACCTTCCAGTGGGCTGGTGGGGAGCGACTTGCTCAGTGCAACTTTCCTGTTGCTCCTGAGCCAGTCCTTCTCCACGCGGCTCTCTTTCCTGGTGGTCGCACTGTCGCAGGGACCCCTCTTGCATGTCTTCATAATCACAACCTGCTGAGATGTTTTTAGAGCACACTGTCTACCTCCTACCACTGCAACAAAGAATTCCACAGAGGTGCGTGAAAAGCTGTTCTGTTGAGAAAAGTGCTTTCAAGAAAGAAGTCAGCATAATTATAGGACAAACTAGCACTAGGCTGCTGCCTGTCAGCCGAGAGAATTATCGTTTGTGTCAGAGAGATGGAGTAAGGAGGGAAATGGGGGGGAGATAACTGGAGGAGGTAATCTTGGTGACAACTTTGCCAAAAGAGAGTGTGTAGGAGGACAGTGGAGGAAGAGGAGAGTATGGAGGAAGATGCTATTGAACTGAAATAGAGGAAGAAGCCTCAAAAAAGGATGATGAAACTTTCCAGAATCTAAAGAAACAGGAACACTTCATCTTTTCTGTGGGTGCTAATGGGTAGTACCACTCAGTATGCCTGGACCCAGGGAAGGAGCTGATTGTGTACAGAGCCCTGTGGTATTTGGGAAAGGCTAACTGCAGCTAATAAGCACCTAGAATCATGCCCATAATAAATAAGAGTCGTATGTGAGACTGTCTGTCTATGCAGTTCGATGTTAGCCATATGTGGCAGGGAAGCACTACGCAATGAGATTTGTAGGAACATCTATCATAAAGGGTAGAAACAGGCCTTTGCTACAATGGGCTTCTGGGAATAAATTGAGGACAAAACATCATGGAAGACAAGTAAAAATAAGGCAAGTGATACTAATGGGGCTAGGCAGCTTGCGCTGTTCTGAAGTGCTGTGTTATGGTAGAAGTCAGGTATTAAAGGCTGTGCAGGACCTAGGGAAACTGAAGAACTTTAAAAACTATTTACTGTGGTTGGTTGTTTTTTTTTTTTTTTTAATTCTGATTTAACAATTGCTATCTCGGAGCGAAACCCATATACTGTGGCTTACATCTATTGAGTATAGCATGAAAGGGGTATCTGGAATTAGAGAAACAAATATTCTGCAAGATATTTATTATGCAATTTGAAAGTTCACAGTATGGAAGCTTGCATTGTGTATTCTCTAATTCTAGCTGACCAGAAAATATAACAAAGATTGCTTTACTCTGTGTATCAAACTGCATATGTTTAGCCCTTGCTGATGTTTTAATGTTTTACAAAATAAAGTAGGACTTTTAAGAACGGACGATTTTAACCCAGACAGAAGGGCAGGGTTACTACCCTACCTGAAAATGTCTTGTTCCAGCTCATGAGTCCGTTGTTGGTCCTCCCGATTCTGCTTTTGCATTTCTTCTTGCTCTTTTGGAGTGAGAGAGCTAAGGCCATCCAAGAGCCATTTTTCTCGCAAGGCTTTTTTCTGATTGGGAAAAATACAGACAAGTAAGTGTACTTTAAAAGTTACTCTGTTCAATTATTTATTGTATTTGTCTTGATGCCATAGGTGTGATCCACAGTCTTGTGCTGTATCTAGCATAAGGCAATCTGACAGCAGTGAGTGCCACTAAAGAAATACTAAAAAACATTTGTGTTTTGAGATTGACTTAAAACCAAACTCGTTAAGAACAATGTCCCATTTTATTTGTCCACCCAACAAATACATAGAGGATGTCAATTGCTACCTGTAACAGATTAATATTTATAAGTGGATCCAGTGGTGTGTTTGTCCTCAATAAAGCAAAACAGTTTTATCAAAGCGTACATATTAGTTTCATGCAAAAGACCCCAGTCAGAAGTGCTATAGTTTTATTTCAATAGCCCTGACTTCTGGGGCCATGGCATTGCATAAATTCTGGGAGGGGGTATAAAAGGTGAAAAGTTTCTATAAATAAGGTTGTGTAGGGGGAAGAGATCTCTAGGGAGTTAGTGATGCAATGCTATCTCTGGAGTTGACAAGGAACTTGAGTGATTACGGTAGTGAACTCGCATTTCATCTGGTGAGGATGTCTGGGGTAAGAGTGGGACTGGAAAGGTAGAGCACGGGTTGTTGATGTCTAGTTAGTGTTTCAGCAGACCTGCTACATATTTAAAACTGCTGTCATAGGGGCAATCCAGGGCTTGCATATTTAGGCCCTGACCTGTTTAGTGCCTGTGGAGTTCTTTCTGTACAGCAGTGGCTTATAAATGCTGTATTGCATGTGTACAGGTGAGTGGATCTCTCAGCTGTGTTTTCAAGTTGTGAAAAATATGGCTGTATGCACTGATTGCTTCCTGCAGCTGTTTTACAATATGAAAGGTGGCATCTGAAAGTCATCAGAGCTCTCAAAATATTCCTGGTGGAAAAAAAATATTAATGGAGATAAGCTCATATTTGCAGGCTAGAGGTTGTAAACCATGCAACCTTTCTTGCACTCTTTTTACTCCCTTCAGTCTAACTCAGGAATATAAATCCAGTTGCTGCCTTGGGGAAGAAGTGGGAGTCAGGGCTCCTTAGAAAAACTCTTTCAACGGCGGGGAAAAAGCACACATATAAGGTTTTTTAATTAACCATGAATTTTCCTCTTGTAATTTAGATTCCTGGAGCTGTCTGATTTCCATGTTAGGTTTTTTGGTTTTTTCTCCTGTATGGTTTTGTCAGTTGTAGGATGTGGATAAAGATTAAACTGGATTTTGACTACTGCAGCTTTGAGGCAGAGCTGTGCCCAGGACTGGCAAGAAGGCTGCATTAACCTCAGCGCCGCTTGCAGTGGCTGTTGGAGTCCCTGCCTGCATCCTGTGTGTTGAGTCACTTAAACTGTTGCTTCCTACGCTTTTCTGTTTACTGTATACTTTCCATGAGGTTATTACTGAGGCTCAACTAATGGAGGAGGATACACGTAGGACTGATTGCATTTAAATGCAATTTTCAACTTGATGTGTGACATACATGATGTGACAGAAACCGTGGCTAAAACAGGCTTGTTGGGAATTCTGTGGCACTCCATGGTACATCCCCCCCCCCCCCCCCCAGAACATAGGAGCGATGTTTACAGTTGCCTTAGCCCTGCGGGACAGTATTCTCTCAGCACTGGATCCTCGGAAATCTGTGGGAAACAAGGGCCGCTCAAGACTGATGTCCTGAGCCTTGACTCTGGCTGTAGGATTGCTTGGCAGCACTTCCTGGCAGTTGTGTCTTGGGCTCAAATGAAATAATTGCAGATTTTAATAGGCGGGTTTTACCTGATCTGGTAAATGCATGTAGTCTGGTATTGCCATAGCTCTTATTGACCACAAAATACAGTTTTCTCAAGTTGGAGGGAACACAGTTATTAATTCCCTTTCAATCAAGCTGTTTAGGTTTTAATGATAAGTAGGGCTCCTAGAAAAGTGAGATTTTAATGCTGGCTGGATTAGTCTAGCATTGCTGTCTCCAAAAATAAATCTATAATTCCTTGGGAGAATTACAGCGGGGCTGGCACTGTAGGCCTCAGAAACTGGTAACACCCACTGAAATCAACAAAAGCTTAATGTATGTATAGGATTAGGCTGAAAAAAACAAACTCCCTAAATACAGGTATAACACAATAGTGTTATTTTTGTGTTTTCCTAGAATAGTTTGCTGCTGCTTCCAACTAAATGCCATGTAATCTTTTTAATTTAGTTACCCCACTTTTGAAAGAATGATGCATTGCGTAGTTTGGAAACAGCCTTTGAACAACAGTTTCAAGGCTGCTCCGCTGAGGTATTGGCACAAGTCAGTGCAGGGGCAGCTGCTTTGGGGCTGTTGGGTTCTTTCTGCTGTCCAGCATTTCCTTCTGCTGTAAAGCATCTCCAGCTCAGTAGTAGGTTGTGAATATGTTATAGCACTTATATGGAAGTGCTTTCATTTTGCATTAGGCTTGGTACATTAAGGGAAAGGGATACTTATACATTGTGATGTGGTAAGACCCTGGGAATGGCCAGAGTGCTGGAAAGCAACCACTTTCTTTTGTAAATTCATGGTTGCATCAGGAGTACTGTGACAATATTCTGCAAATTCTGTGAATAAATGTCCTACATGTGCTCCAGGTATGACTCCACTGTAATCCTTAACAAGGCTGGACTAACACTGAAAGATTCATCCTTCCCTGGAAGGCACAAGTGTTTTGAGTTCGTGGGTCTTGCTCTCCCAGTGGTATGGCAGTTCACCTTAGAGCATGTTGGGGGAGGCATAAATCATTTTTCGCAGTTTTCGCAGAAGATGTAGTTCAACACTGTTAACTCCTGGAATAAGGAGGTGTGTGACCAGCACCTACAAGGTAGCACTAGTGGAGTTCAGGCATGTCAGAAACCAAAAGCGTAATAAGCTAAACTAGAAAAGCTCATGGAAAGTGCATGCAAATCAGTGCTGACTATGCTTTTCAAGCAACTCTTT